AAAAAAAAAAAAAACACAAAACAAAACAAAAAAGAAACTGTGCTCTGACCACCTTGGGCACAAGTCATCAGGACCTCCTGAGGTCATGTCACAAGCACGTGTCAACTTTGGCAAATAAACTTTCTAAATTAACTGAGATCTGTCTCAGATATTCAGGGTTCACTAGCTGCTGCTCCCCACCTCCTGGATGGCCTGAGTTAGGCAAGTCCCCATGGATGCTTTCTCACCAGCAAGCGTATTACAATAGTCCTGTTATCGGAAAGGGGTCCTGATCCAGACCCCAAGAGAGAGTTCTTGGATTTTGTGCAAGAAAGAATTTGAGGCGAATCCCTAGTGTAAAGTCAAAGCAAGTTTATGAAGAAAGTAAAGGAGTGAAAGAATGGCTACTCCATAGACAGCAACGCTGAGGGCTGCTGGCTGCCCATTTTTATGGTTATTTCTTGATGATGTGCTAAACAAGGGGTGGATTGTTCATGCCTCCCTTTTTAGACCATATAGCCTAACTTCCAGACATTGCCATGGCATCTGTAAACTGTCGTGGTGCTGGTGGGAGTGCAGCAGTGAGGATGGCCAGAGGCCACTCTCATCACCATCTTGGTTTTGGTGGATTTTGTCCGGCTTCTTTGTGGCAACCTGTTTTATCAGTGAGGTCTTTCTTTCCTTCTTTTTTTTTTTTTTGAGATGGAGTCTTGCTCTGTCGCCCAGGCTGGAGTGCAGTGACGCGATCTCGGCTCACTGCAAGCTCCGCCTCCCGGGTTTACGCCATTCTCCTGCCTCAGCCTCCCGAGTAGCTGGGACTACAGGTGCCCACCACCGCGCCCGGCTAGTTTTTTGTATTTTTTAGTAGAGATGGGGGTTTCACCGTGTTAGCCAGGATGGTCTCGATCTCCTGACCTCGTGATCCGCCCGTCTCGGCCTCCCAGAGTGCTGGGATTACAGGCGTGAGCCACCGCCCCGGCCAGCGAGGTCTTTCTTAACTGTGTTCTTGTGTCATCTCCTATCTCTTCCTGTGACTTAGAATGCCTTATCATCTGGAAATTCAGCCCAGTAGGTCTCAGCCTTATTTTACACAGCCCCTATTCACGATGGAGTTGATCTGGTTCAGATGGCTCTGACAGTACCTACTTCATTGTGTTGGTGGGAGGAGTAAATGCATCGACATGAGCCAGATGCTTAGCGAGGGCTGCATGTGGCACACCGGTGTTGTTATCATGGTTACTGTCATCATGCAGTGATGGGTGGTACTGGGTCAGGCCATGAGAACCTCCAGACAGGGGGGTCTGCCAGAGAAGGGGGCATTTAGCTGAGACCTGAGGCCTGATAGGGATTATTTGGGTGAGGAGACTACAAGACTGCTGAAGACAACTTTTCAGGTGAGTTACGACCAAGGGTCAGGCTTTGTTACAGTCTCATGTGCAAGGTGAAGGCCCTGATGGACCCCTTTGAAGATTCACTCAGGGAAGGAACAAGAACCACCATCAGCCTCGACACAGAAACACCCTGTGGTTACAGGTCACTTGGCCTGTGAGTGACAGTCATCCGCTGGGTGGGTGCCCAAAAGCAAGCCCAATAGTTCACAAGATTACCATTTTATCAGGAATGCTACTTTTTCTCTCTCTCTCTTCCTTTCTTTCTAAATTTTATTTTGGCTGGATACGGTGGCTCACGCGTGGAATGCCAATACTTTGGGAGGCCAAGATGGGCGGATCACTTGAAGTTGGGAGTTCGAGACCAGCCTGACCAACATGGAGAAACCCCGTCTCTACTAAAAATACAAAATTAGCCGGGAGTGGTGACGGGCGCCTGTAATCCCAGCTACTCGGGAGGCTGAGGCAGGAGAGTCAAGTGAAACTCCGTCTCAAAACAAAAAAAGAATATTTTATTTTTTTGAGAAAGAGTCTCAGTCACTCAGGCTGGAGTACAGTGGTGCGATCACAGCTCACTGCAACCTCTGCCTCCTGGGTTCAAGCGATTCTCCTGCCTCAGCTGCCTGAGTAACAGGGACTACAGGTGCGTGCCACCACGCCCTGCTAATTTTTATACTTTTAGTAGAGACAGCGTCTGACCATGTTGGCCAGGCTGGTCGCAAACTCCTGTCCTCAAGTAATCCGCCTGCCTTGACCTCCCAAAGTGCTGGAATTACAGGTGTGAGCCATTGCACCCAGCTTTCCTTTTTTTGAGATAGGGTCTTGCTGTGTCGCCCAGGCTGGAGTGCAATGGCACAATCTCAGCTCACTGCAGCCTCGACTTCCTGGGCTCAGGCGATCCTCCAACGTCAGCCTCCCAGATAGCTGGGACTGCACAGGTGCCCGCCACCAAGCCTGGTTAATTTTTTGTATTTTTAGTAGAGATGGGGTTTCACTGTGCTGCCCAGGGTGATCTTGAACCCCTGGGTTCAAGCCACCTGCCTGCCTCGGCCTCCCAAGGTGCTGGGACTACAGGTTTCAGCTACCTTGCCCAGCCTAGACATGCCAGTTTCTTCTCAGAAGGAAGTTCTGCACTGATCACGTTCTTTTCCAGTGGTTTATTTTTATTTTTTATTTTTGAGACGGAGTCTCACTCTGTTGCCCAGGCTGGAGTGCAGTGGCACGATCTTGGCTCAACACAACCTCTTCCTCCTGGGTTCAAGCGATTCTCTTGCCTCAGCCTCCTGAGTAGCTGGGATTACAGGCACGTGCCACCACGCCCGGCTAATTTTTGTATATTTAGTGGAGATGGGGTTTCACCACGTTGGTCAGGCTGGTCTCAAACTCCTGACCTCGTGATCTGCCCACCTCGGCCTCTCAAAGTGCTGGGATTACAGTTGTGAGCCACTGCGCTCGGCTTTTCCAGTGCTTTCAAGGAACTAGGCAGAGCCCAGAAGGAAGCTCTTCTAAAGCAGATCTATGCCCTGAAGTGGCTGCAGAGAGCAGCCTCCAGAACTGGTGTTTGTGGCAGCCAAAACCTCCCCAGTGCAAAGCCCATGGCAGATCTGGCCATGACGGGAGGAGAGGCAGCCATCATTGCACAGGTCCAGGAGCTCAAGGAACTCAAGGTCTGTGGGGTGAACCCATGAGTAGGTCAAAGTCCAGTCTTTCAGGGCAGGGCAGGGGTAACGTTAACCCGGCAAGAGACAACAGACACCAAACTCATTGCACCATTTTGCAAATCTCATTCAGCCAAGTCCAGAGGAATGGGTATTGGAGGAAAATGATCCTAAATCAGGTGGAACGGAGGCAATCATCACGGGTCCTGGATTGGAAGGGCTGGTGGGTTGTCTGGGAGGGGATTGCTTGTGCTGTGGTTCTTAAAACCAAGGCCCATGCAGCCCAGGGGAATGAAGGTAACATACTAGAAACTCCTTGGTTTACAGGGGAAAAGGCATCCAAAGCCTGAAGGAGACAAGAATGGATCGTGCTTCACCCGCTCTGCCATCCCCTAACTGTCCCGTGAGATGGCCTGCAGGACACCCCCACCAAGACGTTAAGGGGCATACTGTGAAGCGGGGAGGAGAGTGACGGCACCCTGAGCAAGCTCTCGGGAGGCTGCTGGGGACGAACGGGACAATGCTGCCAGGAAACAGGTGAGGAGACCCTGGGTGGGCTGAGGTCACATGGTCGGCCGGGCAGGCGCGGTCACCGTGCTGGGCAGGCAGAGTGGTGGCCTCACAGACCGTGGACTCATTTGCCAAGGAGTTGCCCTCCAGGACAAAAGCAGAGGGCAGCACAGGGGTGAAGGGGCAGCAGTGGTGGAAAAACCCTGGGTCTCAGGCCTGGGCTTGCTCGCAGGGCAGGGGGTTTGAAGTTCCCCTTGCAATTCCTGGATATGAGTCATTCCCAGACCCTCTGCTAGAGGCACACATCGACGGAAACACCCAAGGCTGTGGATGGCTTCCCCCAGGCCCCCCTGAAGGGAGGCGAAGCCCTTGGCAGGATGGCTGTGTCCTGGAGGAAGGGACGCCCAGGCTCTCAGGGATTACTGGGCACTGGGTCTGAGCTGACGCCTCTTCCCAGACACTATGATGTCTCCACAGTCCTTGGTCAGAGAGGGCTTTGGGGTCAAGTGAGACATGCTTCCGGGTCACAGTCCGTCGCACAGTGGACACCGTGGGGGTGTGTGAATCCATCTTGTGTTAATTTCCCCCGTTGTCTTTTCTCTTTCCTTTCTGAGACAGAGTCTCGCTCTGTCACCCAGACTGGAATGCAGTGACACAGACATGACTCACTGCAGCCTCGACCTTGACCTCAAGCAATCCTCCCACCTCAGCCTCCTGAGTAGCTGGGACTACAGGCACGAACCACACCTAGCTAATTTTAAAATTTCTTTTTTTTTTTTTTTTTTTTTGAGACGGAGTCTCGCTCTGTCGCCCAGGCTGGAGTGCAGTGGCCGGATCTCAGCTCACTGCAAGCTCCGCCTCCCGGGTTCACGCCATTCTCCTGCCTCAGCCTCCCGAGTAGCTGGGACTACAGGCGCTGCCACCTCGCCCGGCTAGTTTTTTGTATTTTTTAGTAGAGACGGGGTTTCACCGTGTTAGCCAGGATGGTCTCGATCTCCTGACCTCATGATCCGCCCGTCTCGGCCTCCCAAAGTGCTGGGATTACAGGTGTGAGCCACTGTGCCCGGCCATCTCCCCAGTTCTCAAATATGTTATTTGAGTAGAAATTCTGAGCAGCTGGCCAGTGTGCACATGCTCTGCTGACTCAGAGAAGGGCTGTCAAGGTGGGAAGCCCAAGGCAGGCTCCTGGAGCTCCCCTCCTTTATCAGCTGAGGAAACACCAACTACTCTGTCATGTAAAACTGAAAATCTCAGTGGCTTAATATAAAGATGTTTCTCTCTTTCTTTCTTTCTCTCTTGGAGATGGGGTCTCACTCTATCGCCCAGGCTGGAGTGCAGGGTCAAAATCACAGTTCACCGCACCCTCTACCTCCCAGGCTCAGGCGTTCCTCCCACTTCAGCCTCCCGAGTAGCTGGGACTACAGGCACTGACCGCCATGCCTGGCTAATTTTTGTATTTCTGGTAGAGACGGGGGTCTCTTTGTTGTCCAGGCTGGTCTTGAACTCCTGGCCTCAAGCAATCCTCCTGGGCCTTGCAGAGTTCTGGGATCATAGGCTTGAACGACCATGGCTGAGCTGAACCACTGCCATTTTTGATGTGGATTTAAGGGCCTTGTGGAAGTCCACAGCCAGCCAGCAGGAGGTGCAGAGACAGCGTGCAGGTTTGGGCAGGGCATTTGTATGCACCAGGCTTGGGAGTGGTACACATATCATTTCTACCCAGATAAATTCCGGGACTCAATGACACGACCTAGTTGCGAAAGGGACTGGGAAACAGAGGCCTTGGCTGAGAAGTGTGTTCTATCTTGAGCCACTAGTTAGGACATCAGCTTTCTGACTCCTCAGTTTGTCAACTATGGCAGAGCCACTCTCCAGGGTCACCCGTCGTACGGTGTTATTTCTGGGAGATGTATTTCTAGAAGCTTGTACTAGACACTTCCCAGTGATTCTGTAGGCACCAACTCCCTGTATTAAATCCCTTTCCACTCAGAGTGGCCACACATGGGTCTGTAATCTATACCGGAACTGTGGCTGTCAGTCAGTGAGACATTGAGGACCTGTAAGCCACCGTGTGAGGGGTCACTTGGAGCGGTGTGGATGCTGTCAGCCCTGGGGGTGAGCAGGCAACCCGTGACCTAGATGCCAGAGTCCTCAGTGAATGATAGGATGTGCTTGGCCAAGACTGCTCTACTCCCAGTGCCTCAACTTTGGGGTGTGTGCATGTGACATAAACGTTCCTTCTGTTCATGTGTGTATTCATTGATTATCCATCCAGCATGCAATCATTTAGCATTTATGTATGCTCAGTTCTGTGGCTGAATAAGAAAAGCAGATTTCCAACAATATAAGCTAAAACCCATCTATTGCAATACCTGCTGATTAAAATATAATAATATAATAAGCATTCTTTTGTTGCCTTTTTTTTTTTTTTGAGACCGAGTCTCGCACGTCGCCCAAGCTGGAGTGCACTGGTGCGATCTCAGCTCATTACAACCTCCGCCTCCTGGGTTCAAGTGATTCTCCTGCCTCAGCTTCCCGAGTAGCTGGAATCACAGGTGCCTGCCACCATGCCCTGCTATTTTTTTTTTTTTTTTTGTATTTTTAGTAGAGATGGGGTTTCCCTGTGTTGGCCAGGCTGATCTTGAACTCCTGACCTTGTGATCTGCCCGCCTCGGCCTCCCAAAGTGCTGGGATTACAGGCGTGAGCCACTGCGCCCAGCCCAGCATTCTTTTATATACATAGCTGAGCTTGAAAATAAAACAAAGGCCATCCCGGGAGACACAAAATGAAGAGGAAAGTGAAACCAGCAGGTAAATGAGTGTGAAATCTGGGGCTTCTCAATACTACGAACTTAAAGCCTTGGGTTTTAAGGCTACGTAGGAGGCAAAAGACAGAGACTCGGGCCTGTGCAATATAAGAAGATGCTCACATAAAATCAGGACGTTTGAAGACCCACAGTCTCAGTAAGAGGCTAGAAAAACTAGGAAAGAAATCTGCTTTCCAGGAAAGAGAAATTTTTTTTTTTTTTTTTTTTT